TTAAACCGGTCATTTTTACCAATATTCTCGATGAAAATACTGCCACCACTGAAGCGGCTACCACGAATTTATTAGAGATCGAAGCAGCCAACACAGCCCAAACTGCTGCAGCTTTCGATCACGAAACTGCTGCTACAGCACTCCTTAACAAACGTCATTTTTTGCAGGGTTTTAAACCGGTCATTTTTACCAATATTCTCGATGAAAATACTGCCACCACTGAAGCGGCTACCACGAATTTATTAGAGATCGAAGCAGCCAACACAGCCCAAACTGCTGCAGCTTTCGATCACGAAACTGCTGCTACAGCACTCCTTAACAAACGTCATTTTTTGCAGGGTTTTAAACCGGTCATTTTTACCAATATTCTCGATGAAAATACTGCCACCACTGAAGCGGCTACCACGAATTTATTAGAGGTTGAAGCAGCCAATACAGCCCAAACTGCCGCAGCTTTCGATCACGAAACTGCTGCTACAGCATTGATCACAGCAAAACGGCACTTTTTGCAGGGTTTTAAACCGGTCATTTTTACCAATATTCTCGATGAAAATACTGCCACCACTGAAGCGGCTACTACGAATTTATTGGAGATCGAAGCGGCCAATACAGCCCAAACTGCTGCAACTTTCGATCACGAAACTGCTGCTACAAACTTTTTCAACTAGCGTAATTTCCTTCTGTGATCTTAGTTAATGGTTTTCTGAATTATTTTCCCAAAAATATAAAATATTGTATGCAATAGATTAAAATTTAGAGTTTGGAATAAAATTGTGTTCGTTTCTTTTTGTCGGCGTGGAAAATAGTTTTGCTAGAGAAAAAGTGGACTGAATATAATATTGCTTAAATAAATTGAAGTTGGTATTGGATAATGTTCTGTGCAAATAATGGAAATAAATGTCAATATTTATGTGATGGATATACCAAGCTGTGCAAATTATAACTTACCGAATGGCAATGATATGTATCAATGCTCAGTCAAGGTTTGTTTCTATTCACGTCTCTCTTACCTAATCACAAACCATCCACTTCGTATAAAAATAGAAGGTGCACATCTTCCTTCTCATATGATAATGTCTGAAACTAGCCAAATTTCACGGATTAATTTAACAAGAGAGAAAAGAGATAAAATTATTATTAGTCGTCATGCAGATCATAAAACAACTAAAGAAATTAAAGGAAAGTTGCTGACCTCTCTTAATAATGCTGATGAAAATAAATTAAGAGAAGCTCTCTCAAATAGTCGTGAAATTTGTGATAATAAAACTCTCAAACGTTTTATCACTCGTGAAAATAGGAGACTTAATGATAATACTGGTCCTTGGACAATTCTGCACTATTTGATAATAGAGGTTTTAAAACCAAGAGATATGTATTATATTATCAACAACCAGATCTCTCCAAACCTGAGAAAACAGCTGAATATTATTACCAATCAACAGTTTCTGATGAATTTTGGCTAAAAAATGGTCGAGATTTATTTCAGAATTGATGGAAAACATGATTTAAATATTGATCGGGCACCAGTGTTATCTATAATTGTTGAAAATAAAGCAAATCATGAAACACCTTTAGCATTTGGTAAGAAAAATAAAAAATTCAAATCATATTAATTCTTTAACTAATATTAATTTTAATAGAATTAAGTAGTAAAAAAAATAATTGGACAGTTAAATTGGCAATCATCGCAATAAAAGAAAATATATCTTGCTCAAATCTTCAATATAATCATTCATGTTATTATGAAAATTTACCAAATGAAAAAGATTTTAAGAGAATTAGAGATTGTCAATTAACTCGACAATGGTATCCAATAGCCATAATTGACAAATATTGACCAACAAAAATTGGAGTGCAAGAGGTTGTTCGTGGAATTATTTGTTGGTTTTATATAATGCAAAACACAAATAATTATTTTAAAGAATGGAATATTTCATATTCATTAAGATTGGTATTTTTTTTAGATCAAATACTTATCTAGTATAATTAATATGATCCAGTGCAAAAATGTTGATACACAAAAAATGAAAGTTAATAATTACTTCTAATAAAAGTTATACAAAATATAATTAATATTTATAATTTTTTATATTAAGTAAAGTATAACTTTTTATATTATTTTTAGTATTTTTTTATACTTTTATTTAAGAATAAACTTTTCACTTAAACAATAAATTTGCAATTTTTAAGAATTAAAAATAATTTTTAGATATTATTATTATAAATTTTTATTTTTAAAAATTTATATTTAGTAAGTGTATTAATATATAAAATAAATATATATTTCAAACTTTAACAAAATTAAATTATTAATTGTAAAATAATTTAATATAATCTAATACAAAAATATAAATATATCACTTTGTTATTAATAAAAAAAATTTTTTTATTTTTAAAATTTTAATTTTTTTTATTAAATATAATATTTATATAATTTTTTTATTATATATAAATAAAAATAAAAATTTTATTAATTAACTTTTTCAATTTGATTATTTTAATTTTTTATATAATAATTTATAATAAATTTATATTATAAAAAAATTAAATTTTTAAATTTTAAAGCTTAATTTTTCTATAATTAGTAATATAATTTTGCTAAACTTTGAAATATATATTTATTATATATATTAATATATTTACTGAGTATAAATTTCTAAAAATAAAAATTTATAATAATAATATCTAAAAATTATTTTTAATTTTTAAAAATTACAATTTTATTATTTAAAAGTGAAAAGTTTTCTTTATTTATTCTTAAATAAAAGTATAAAAAATACTAAAAATAATATAAAAAGTTATATTAAGATATATTTTACTTAATATAAATATAATTATATTTTATATAACTTTTATTAGAATTATTAATTTTTATTTTTTGTATATCAATATTTTTCTATTGAATTTTATAATAATTATTTTTCAATAAAATATTTAAATAAATAATTATACTTATTAGTAGATATTATATTGAAAAAGAAGTTTTTAAAATATTCTTATATTATAAAAATCTTATTAATTTACTTATCTTAACTCAAGAACAAAAAATATAACTAATTCATAATTTTAATAATAATTGAATATATAATGAATAAAGATTGCAATTTATTAATATTGATTAACTTTTTAGAAATTTTTATGAATTAAATTCAATAACAATAAATAATTATACAAAACAAATAAATAAAACTATTGAATTACAATTGTTTGAAAAATAAATAATTATAATATTTATTAAAATATTATATGAAATAAAATTATTATATGAAAATTTTTATAAAAAAGAGACTGATCAAATTATATATAAAACTGACTTGATGATATTATTTAATATACAATTTGTAAAATAGGTATTTCTATATTTTTCTTCTTTATATGATAATTTTTATTATTCTAATAATAGTATTATTATTTATAATGCTTATTGTTATATAAGTTGATTAGTATGATTTTTTTCTGCTTTTACCTTTTTTTTATTTTCTGAATTGTTATATCTATCTATTTTGCTATTAGTATTGTTTTAATCACTATTTTTATTGTTTTTACTATTCATAAGATATTGATTATATTTTAATTGTTATTAATAATATTGCTAATGTATTAGTTATCATTTTCAGATAGTAAAAAATGAATATTTACTTTTTTTACTCTTTTATATTATTCTTAGTTATCCAACTGATATATAATAGTTTAGATAATCTTACACCTATAATTTCAGACTGATTTCTGATTTAATTTTTGATTTAGTTATTATTTTTTAAGTTAAAGTTACCAATTTCAAATTGCAATGCTGGAAATTTTATATTTTCTTGTAAATAATAATAAAGATAAAGAAAATAATAATGATGATGAAAAAATACTTTATTATCTTGAAGAAAAATATTTTTTAATTACTATATAATAGATAAGAATCTATATTTTTATTATAATAATAATATTCAAGATTAATTTTCTTTTTATTAAGTTGATATAAATTTTAATTTCATCTTCATCTTCATTTAATAAGAATATAATAATATTTTTATAGCATTTTCATTACATATTTTATATTTATTATGTAATAGTTATCAGTAATTTCTATACTAATAACAAGTATAATTAATTAGTATATATTATTTATAGTTGTGCTTCTTTTTCAAATAATCTTCTATTTTAATAACTATTTTCATTTTATTATAATCATTGTATTTGTATTTTTTATATATTGAATTATCTTAATATTTTAATTTGCAAATATATAATAAATTGTAGAATTTATTATAAACTATTAATTATAAATAGTAACTTTTAATTGATGATAATTTTTCAATGTAATATACTTTTTTGAGTTATCATTTTGTATTAATTGTGATTCTTGTTCCAGTTAAGCTAATATAAGATTTAATTAATTCTATTAGCTTAGTTTATTAACTTCTTAGATAATTATTAATAATCTTAAATCAAAATTATGAGTTTCAAACTATTATTCTCAATATAATATTTTAAATAATTTTTATTATATGAATTTTTAAGAACTTTTTTATTCATTATTCTAAGTCAATATGCATTTTTGTCAAGAGCTTAATAAATATAAAATGATTCTTTTCATTTTTGAGTGAATTTTTTATGATACTAATATTATATTTTCATTTTCTTCATTAAGACTTTATCTTTAATTGTGAAATATTGTAATTAATTATTTTGTTGATAAGTTTCTTTTTGCTTTTGTTGTAATTTTGTTGAGTTATTATATTTAATTCCAATTTATTTATTATAGTACAAGCTTATTTAATTATTTTATTTAAAATTATTTGATCTTTATTTGATAATAATTTGAGGTTCAGTTAGTATTTCTATGAACTAAACTGAACTGAATCAAACTTTTGCCTGAATTTGAGTTTGATTTGAAGTTCAAATCAAACTCAAACCAGACTTTGACTTGAGTTCAAGAAAGATTCAAAATTCAAACTGAACTCAAATTGAATTGTTATATGAGTTCAAGTTTGATTCGAGTTTGATTAAAGATCAGTATATAGTATCATATACTGATTGTTCTAAATATAAGCTATAATTTTATTTATAAGCATAATTTATAGTATTTAATAAGAATTAAAAGTTTACATAGTGATAACTAAAGTATTTTTATTTTTACATTTATTAAATTTGATTGTAAATACTATATAATTTTCTGAATAATTATTATTAATGATAAATATCTTATATCAATTTGTAACTCTTATTTTTGGCTATAACTTTACTTATAATTATAATTTATAATTATTATGGCAAAATAAAAGTTTATTATACTAAAACTAAAGCAAATTAAAATTATAATAATTAGAATTATTTTTTAAATTTATATAATTTCTTAAATATTTATCTTAAATATTAACTATCTTATATCAATTTATAACTCATGTTATGATCTATAACTTTATTTAGAATATTAACAAATATTTACTTGAACTCAAACTGAACTTTTGATCAGATTCAAGTTTGATTTAAAATTCAAACTGAACTCAAACCAGATTTTTAATTAGATTCAAATTTTTGAACTAGACTTTTGTTCAGATTTGAATCTGATTCAAGCTCAAACCAAACCAGACTCAAACTAAACCAGAATTTTTTCAGAACTCTAGATTCAGTAGCATGATTACTTGTTTTTTATAAATAAGATAAAATAATATAAACTTTATTAAATTTTGTTGCATTATTTTATAAGCAAAAAGTACTAATAAAAAATATTTTTTCTATTTCTTTTCATGTAATTAAACTAACTTTTTAATTGAATTATATAATATTCTATTTAATCTTTCTATTAGTTTATTGATTTGTGAATAATATAGAGTTAAGAGATAGTATTTGATTTGGTATTTATTATATATCATAATTCACATTCTTGAATATCTCTATTATAATATATTCTTTATGATTTGTCTCTGGATATATTACTCAATATTCAGGTTAATAAAATATATTGTATCCAGAATATTATATAATATCTTTTATAATTGATTTTTAAATATATTATTCAATATTTAGTTTTTTTATTTATATCATGAATTTATATAATTAGTTTTATTTTCATAATAACTATTAAATATATCTTTATTACTTTTTTCTAAATCTCCAAAATCAATATAATTATTTATATTACTATTATTTGTAATATTAGAAGTAATATTTGAACTTGTTCTAATTTCAAGTTTATTTTTGCTAATATTATCTTCTTCAAATTTGTAAAAAATATTTTTTTAATTAGTTATAGTTACTTGATTATAATCAAAATTAAATATTTATTTCAAGCATTAAATATATTATAGCATTTAAATAATTAAGAAACTATCTTTAGATCTATACTTTTTCAAGCAATTTTAACTCATTGTACAATGACAAAATATGCAGAACATTAAATATAATCAGCAAGAGTAAGTTAATGAACTTCTTCAATTATCCAAATATTATATTATTGATATATTTATATTAACAAAAAATAAAATGAGATAAAAATAG